ATTATTATTATTACTATTACTATTATTGTCATTGTCATTTTTCTGCAAATAAGTGAACTGCGCTATGTTGAAGATAAAAAAGTTCTCTGGAAAGCTGCAACAATGTATACAACAGAATGAAGCAGAGATCAATTGGCTAGACCCTCCAGAGGTCGTGAAAACGCTGAGAGAAGTGGAAGGGCTGAAGAGGTAAATCATCGGTTCCTTCTATAGTGGAATATTGCTTTACGAAATTACTTCGTTTCGTCACTAAACCGAAAAGGTCGCAAACAGAATTATGGTTTCCGCAGCAATGGGCGCAATGATTCGTTGCACGTGATTCAATTCTTCATAGTGTAAATTTTCATCGGTATCGCAAGTATGGCAAGTGTAATGACATAATACACGGAAAATGAGCTCATTAATATGGCAGTGTCGAACGTCAGGACAATTCGACAGAGTGAGTATATGACTGTGGCACATACATTCACATAGCAGTCCTGAAGAACTGTTAGCTTATCATGAAGGCATAACGGTGGGAATAATTCGGTTCTTTTGCACTTGCGTTTGAGACTACTGTATGAAAACAAGGACGTGGGTTCTAGCAGTAATTTTAGTCGTCTTCTGTGAAAAATCGCGAAGAGTAGCTTGAGGTGGTCTTTCAGTTTTCCTCTCCTTTGAAGAGGAAATACCAGTGGAACCTGGTAGCGTTCGCAAGGATTTTTGCCTTGTTGTATATCGGTTGAAACGGAATAAACACCTTGAATGTGATATTTTTGAGTAGGTGCTTCCGTGTGAAATACGTGCAATCAACTGATGCAGGCATGATCATAGCGTACTGAAACGCAGGAGTGATGCAAATTAATATGAGCAAACGAAAACTACACTGAGCAGAAGAATGATGTTAATTGGTTGAAACACCGCTACATAGTAACCATGAAATCGCTATGTTTCTTCTCCTACGCACAAATATGCTCAGAAGATTGAGGAGATAGTTCTGACTTCTGATCCTAACAAGTCGTGACGTTCGTAAATCGGAGCGAATTTTCACCACAAATTTTATTCGTAAATAAATGTCTGTTTGATGGCCTTCTTTGAGCATCAGCGAATTCCATTTGGAGGCTCCATTGTTCTGAAATTTTATGTGAATTGATATGATTGACGGCAGGCATCACAATTTTGTTTTTGTGCGATGTGAGCATAATTATGGGTGCATTCCTAGAGTATCATTGTTGCGTTGAGTAATTAAGATTGTGTTGAAATGATTTTAAATTGTAGATTTCGTCGTCTTATTTAAGGCGTGCATTTTGCACTTCTCATTATGATGCCTAATTTTTAAACTGCGCATGTCATGTGTTTTGTTGCAGAAGCGATTACTTGAAAAGCAGAGGGTATTCAGCGAGTGGACAGCAGTCAAATGTTGATGTTTGGACAGCAAGGTTACAGCATGTTCGGTAAGCCAGTTCACTCTTGCCACTTCGTCGAAGATGAAATTGGAGGTACTTGCAGTGCTTGGTCAATCAGGATGAAAGAGTGAAGAGATCAGGAATTTGAAGAGACAGCGATTTAAGCGGGACCCCGGGAACTATTATTCCGATTTTTTCCTTTAGCACGGTAGCTCGCTACAATTTATTTGACGGAAATCAATAGCGACAACTTCCGTCACAATAATTTTTCGACGGCACAAGATAGCGATAAGTTGCGCTAGTGTTCTTTGATGTACCATTCACAAGCTCTTAACTCAAAATGACGGTAATCGTATTTGTCCAAACTGGTAGAAGTTGAATATTCAATCCTAACTCAAGTGCTCCCTATAATCGCACCAATAGCACTTCGTTTAGGCTATATGACTTCAAATAATTTTATTTGACACTAAGACGTAGTATTTTTTTCTACTTTTTTTTTTCTCGAAACAGCGTAATAAGAGTGGGACGGGGCAAAATATCTGCCGAAGCGCTCAGCAGATTGATCTTCTCTAAACGGGATGAGAGGGTGTAGTGTTGGTTGTCACCGGTTGATTGATTACATCTTCTAATTTCGTTGCGGTCACTCGGTTTTCTTTTTAATTGTTGGCTCGCGTAGTAGGACAGAACAGAATAACTTCCAGAAAACAAAAGCATAGAACAGAACGGAATATTTCAGAGTGCCTAACTTAACAGAACAGATTTTGATTGCTCTTCGAACTTTTCTCCATGAAGCATTGAAGTGATAGTGAATTTGGTATAACTGCTATTACTGCTGTCATTAATATTTTCAAAATTATTCTTAATATCAATATTAGTTTTGTTGATTGTTTTCATCGTTGGTGCTTATAACTTATCAGCATTCATTTTGCTGCTCTTGAAAGCAGCAGACCAAATCGTTGAGATGATGTGCAAAGTTTCAGTGATTTTTTCAGTCGGCTCGTGGGGATATGCATGAACTTCATCAGTATCTCGGTGTGGTGCCCATTTCAAGAATACCTCGTATTCATGATCTTGGGGTTGCATTTTGGAAAGTCTTTACCAGTCATCACTTCCTCCTATTGTGAGTTTTCGGCAGCCTTATGTCCCGTAGTCCTGAAGATGAGAATGTCATTTTGTCGAGCAGTTTTTCACATGGTATTCGCAAATAAAATTTTTCTTTGAAATGACTTCGTAGGAATTGAATCGGTAGGCACCGATTCGTTGGCCATCGAAAATCGTTGGCTCGAAACCGAAAACGACTTTTCCAACAGTGATGTAACTGGTAACCGAGTGATTCCTTTCGGTGGCTATCACCGAGGCAAATTTCGAGCACAGGTCGGCTTCGATCAACAGGCAAGGAAGATCAAATTTCCATACCACCGATTGAAACCGGACGCGATTGATTAGTCGGTGGCCACCAAATCGCTTATTCAGCGATGTCCATCGAATCTTTAATGTCGAATTGCCTCGGGAAAAATGCATTTGAAGTAATGAAATACGAAGGAAAGTTCGATAACCCACTGATAATCCCAGAACTTGAAACTGATGACTGATTGTAAGGCAAGCATGAAACCTTCATTCGTCGACTAGAATTGACAAGAAAAACGATTTTCCGTTTCAGTCGAATGAAAGCTAGCGACCTTGCTTTTCACTGCCATTGGCAGCAACCGAAAAGAACCAGTTTGCGGCGGCCACACAAAATCTGTTGCCCCAGAATT